TTCGATAATCCCTAGTGGAGAGTTACAATCTACTTAAGTACAGGCTCTGTAAAAAGCAACAGGGAAAGAACACACATTTATGATCAAAAGATATTTTCTACAATAAAAAAAAAATACCTGATGTTGTTGGTTTTACATTGAATGGACCAAAATTACTTGTCCAAAATGAGGTTTCTGTCCTGTCCTTGCTTATAGCAGGGGTAGGGGGGAAATGGTATAGCTCAATAAAACTGTGATTACTTGGGTCTGTTTTCATAATGGGACATAATACAATAGTTAAAAGGGACTGTGGAAACTATTAACTTCTTGATGTATATTTCTTCTAATTTGGTTCATATTTTAAAATGTTAATTTTTTTAAAAGTGCCATTGATGGAAATAAAGGAGACACTATAAAAAGTCAAATATTGGTTATGGAAATAAAGCTTTCGAACAGTTTTTTTTTTTAAAAAAAATCATATCACCTCTTTAACTTTGTAGATGTCAGGCATTTCACATGTATTCAACAGCATGGATATTGGAAATGAATGTCTTGTGAATGATGTTTTTTATAGAGCTATACACACTGTAATGTTTATATTAATTTCTTTAGCAAGGGGAAATTAAACACAAGTAAATCCTGGTGGTTTGGGGGACCTTGATGATAATTTCTCCTTTAATGATTAAAAAGCAAGTTTCTGCTGCTTACTTTCTCAAATCCTTGCATCCAGGCCTGTGTTGTGTTCTGTGCGGGTTGAGGTAATGGGAAAGGCAGACTTTTCCCCAGGAATCCAAAATAAACATTTATCTTGGTGCCTTACAAAAAACATGAAGGAAAGGAAGCGTGTTGGGCCTACAGAAGTGATATGGTCTTTTATATGGGGATAATTTATTAATTCTTGGGCCTTTGTGAAAGGAGAGTTCATTGAGGTGTGTGACCTAATGAAATAGCCTGGAACAATTCTGATTCTGGCGTTTTTCTTAAAACTGAATATATCCTGTTACATGTTTGTGCAAAATGAGCAAAGGTGGCATTCAGGCCTCTTACCACCCACGTTGCTTGTTGTAACAAACCATCTGCCATAATGCTTGGTGATTTTAAAAAAGTATCCAATGTAAAATTTAACCCATCACTGCAACTATGAAATTGAGAACAGCAGTGTGATTTTTTTTTCTTATATGCTTATAATCAGCAATAACTGCCAAAGCTTGACTTTCTTGGGGATTATTCTCTGCTCTGAGCTTACCTTTCTGTAGCCTGCGGGAAATGCAACATGGCATCTTGGAGTAGAATTGTTGGGGAAATGAAAGAAAGGTTTGTGATTATTTTTTTTCCTCTCAGGTGAGGAGGAGCGACAGTCTTCCAGCTAAACCATCACGGCTGCTCTTGTTGGGAGATTTTTCTTGGAAGCTTGAAAACTAAGTGCTCCTGTTTTAAAGAAAGCTGCCTTTAAAAAATCTCTTGTGCACTATTGCATGAGTTAGACAGTATGTCTTTCAAAGACTTTTTTAAACAAACTTGTTGATGTACCCATTTTAAGCTCAACTAGTATTTAATAGATTTTAGTGGTTTTGTATTTCAGTGCTTGAAATGACTTTGGATGTGATAATATCTTGCCTTTCTAACTTCAGCTTTGAAGAACTGAACTTCACAAGGAGTATACTGGAGTTACAGGAACACTACAATTATTCTTACGTATTTACTAATGCACTTTAAATGCACCTTTCTGATGTATAGTAAATATCTGATTGTGTTTTGTTTCTGCTTTAGCTTTCCAAGCAGATGTGTGTTTTAGTATAGTATGTTTCAAGTTGTTAACTGGATCTGCAGTTTTAAAATATCCTTTTGCCCTTGTTTATTGGAATATGGAATTTTTGTTTCTCCTGTTTTCACAATACATTTCCTGAGGTTTGAGAAGTGTGACTGCTTGGACCACCTAGGAATCGGGGAGGTCATTTCAGCATTGGAAGAGTGTAGACCTGTGAAGTCAGCATTTGTAAAATAAGTGTGAAGTATTCTTCATGTTTTCATACACATAGCTACACCCTATGATAACTGACTGGCTGGATTTTCTTGCTTCAGGGATGATTGTATTTGCAACAAATTCCTTACCTCTTGCCTGTGGCTTCTCGTAAGGGGTGGGGTGTGAGGAAAATGGTAAGAAGATGGTGCATTTACGAGGAGAGGAAAAACAAGGCAGTCAGATTTTCTGGGAAGCCAAATATGGTATAACCCTGCTCTGCTGATGAACTGAAAATAACTTTAACATGTACTCTCAGGTACATGTGGCACGGAGTATGTATATCATGGAGTAAGACTTTCATAAGGCGTTGGTGGAGCACAACATACGAGAACTTTACTAGGAAAACTTAATTAGAGATGAGACACTGCTCAAAAGACTTAAGTTGTTGGAACAGTGCAATTTTTTTGGTATGTTATTACCAGTTAGAGCAAGACAGGCAAAAAAAGTATATCAGGAAAAGTCTTGTGAAGCCCAGGAGATGTCTGTGAGCATAGTCAATGTTGGTGTCCAGAACTTGGTTTGTGATCTGTGCCTTGGGGCTTGCAAGGCTGAGCGGAAAGGACAGCGGTGAAGCTGTAGGTAGTGTTGTGGGTTATTACGATGCCCACCCGTTGGCCAAGTAAGTGGTGCAGGAGAGAGCAGGTTTCCATGGCTTGCGTTGCAGAGCGGGGCACTTCTGGCTCGCGGAGGAAGTGGTGGGGCAAAAAGTGGTGCTTTTGCCTTCACATGGTGATGTGGATGGCTCCAAGAAGCGTCCAAACACCGCGCTTTATGTAGTGCAGGGTAATGAAACACCTGCTTCTGGGAGAGAGGTACGGGTTGCACGAGAAGGAATTAAGATGAGTGTTAGTTTTAACAGTTTAGCCAACACTCAGGAGTTGACTTAGGAAGCAAGGTCACAAGTTCGGCAGCGTTCATCACTTCAGCCCTGTTCCTAATTAAACATTTAAGCTTATAAAATCACAGTAAAGTCAGAGGAGTCCCACGCTTTTCATGTGCGGTGCGCGCGCACGTGTGTGGTAAAACGCAAAGCATCGGGAGTAAGTAAATCTCAGCCTTCCAATCTTTAGAAGTATTTTTCTGAAAAAATCTGTATTGGAGTTCATCGGGAAGCCGAGGGCTGCTGAAATATGTTTGGCAGTAGTCCCTGCTGCCTCCAAAGCCAGCTGAACAAACAGCCCACAGCTTACACAGGAAGACAGGCCAATTGAGTAGGAGGGCAGTAGGGGATAGTGTGGTCGATATTTTGGGGGTCCCAGTGTGCGAGAAGCTCACTGCCACCTCCGTGGTTTTGTAGTCGTTAGGAACTGTGTTTAGTAATTGCTTGATCCCACGGCCAAGGTGGCAAAGAAGGACCTTTCCACTTTTCTGGCATACGTTAAATAACTGAAAGGACTTTCTAAGTGTACTTTGCTGAAAGGCTGGCACATCTGAAAGGAAGCTCAGTTGGAGGATTAGAACTGTACAGATCTTGGAAGGAAGGAAAGAAAGAAAGAAAAAGTTGTTTTTGTTAAAGAGCTCTCTGGAATCAGATTATTACTGAGTGTTAGTGATATGGCATCATTTTGCTCTTAGCAGTTTAGCAACTTGAGCAAATACTTCGCTGCACTTAACATCAAGCGAGCTCGGAGTCTTCAAGTGACTGACCACAGAGGCTCTGCTGGCTGCACTTGAGGGAAGCACGCACAAGACCAAATTATTTTTGCATAGTGCAGTTTATTGAGGCCACATCTGCAGCCGGCATGATTTTCAACCACTGTCAACAGAACTACGAGGAGTGGAATAACCACTTTCTATTTTTGTTATGCAACTTGAAGTGCTATTATTAGAAGCAGCAGTAAGAGGTGGAATTCCATGTGCAGATAGTGGAGAGATTAAGAGCACAATTCAGATGACTTGAGTGATGCACTGAAAGGAGGCTGTGCCCTTGGGTCTCTGATGTTGCTCCGCAGTGGTAGGAGAACACTTGGAAGGGGGTGCAATGAATGCTTGTGGTGCCTAATGTGGGAGCCAAACACGATGAGCTCTGATGCCTCTGCCTCGTCAAAATTAGCACCTTTCAGAAATCATAATCCTCTTCCTCAAGCTTAGCATGGCCTTTTTTAAGGTTGTAATGCAATGACAAGGATGCAGCTGCACTTGGTCAGCCCAAGACGGAGAACATCCAGCTCAGCTAGGTGCTTCTCTGGCCGCATATCTTGGCTCTGATTCTACAGCTGGTCCTCCTGCTTCGAGCAGGGCTGGCTCCTTTCAGTGGCTCACCCCCCAGCCACGCAGCGGGAACGGTGAATCCACGTTCTTGATGCTCTGGTGAGTGGTGGCTGGAGGAGATGAGTTTCCTTCTACCTACTTGGCTTTCCTTAGTGCAGTGGCTTGTCCCTTGCCTTCTGCTTTGCAGCTTTGCTTTCCACAAACCCTTCCATTTCTCTGGCCCTTTTATGTGACTTAGCCTTAGGCAGTTCTTTCTCTGTGCTGTCCACCAGTTTGAATGACTTCATCAACGATTACACCTGGCATTGGTGACTGGCATAAGGTGTTTTACTGGAGACTTGTTTTGTGTTTGCTCTATAACTGTTTTATTGAAGTGCCACGTGGCACCTGGGAAACTCAGCCATGATAAGGATCATGCAGAGATGGGTTTGCCTCAGAGCAGCAGCTTGATAAGAGAAGTATTGCTGGGTGGTGCATGTGTGCTTCTGTTTAATGATGTGACATTAGGCCACAAAAACTTGCCCCTCAAAATACAAAAATGCACTGAAGTAAACTGTGAATGAGCAGAAGGTTTTCTTCAAACCACCTATTGCTTTGGGAAAGATCATGCTGAAAACATCAGAGTGAGGTCACTTAGGGATCAATTATTAATTGTACTTTTATGCATTCCTGATCTGGAAGGCAGTCTAATACTGCTGCTACTATTATACAGGTATGTGCTAAGCAGACACTAACAGATCCTTTTCCTGATTTTGATGATTTCCTTCTTATTCATCCTTCCCATTAGGAGAAGCCCTTTGTGTCAGAAGCAGCTAGGAAAAAAGAGAGAGACTTAGTAGCCAAAGAAATCGAGAGGTTGCAGGTCTCTATTCAGACTCTGTGCCGGAGTTCCCTTCCTCTTGGCAAGATCATGGATTACATCCAGGAGGACATGGATGCTATGAAGAACGAATTGCAGATGTGGCGACACGAGAACAGGCAGCTTGGAGAAGCCCTGCAGAAAGAGCAATGGTGAGTGTGTTCGGGGAATGTTTTATTTACTTATTGTTTTTATTTTTTCTCTTGAGATGGGTTCCTATTTGGGAGAGAAGGAAGAGTCTTCGACACCTTTAAAGTGAATTTGTCATCTGGCTTATTTGCTTTCTGGGAATTTCTTTGAAGTCTTTTTTAAGTTCATTTTAAAGGATTTTTCAGCTCACTTTCACATACTGTATGTCACAACAGTGAGACAAGGTGACCATGTTTGTATGAGACAAAAGGACTTGATGTTTTGTTTGGTTTCTCTCAGAAATGTATAAGGAGTCATGAGGAGGAGCACTTCAGAAGGAAACCTCATTTTGGAACAGGGACTAGTAGTGGATTCCTACGTGCCATAACAATTCTCTGTATTTTGTAATGGTATTAATGGCATGTATTGCTGTCAGTTAATGATGAAAAACACAATATCAGGAAGCCAAGAGAGTGAAGATCACACATCTGGCTTCCCTCACCAGTGTCCCTTATTATTCTCCTTGGAAATGGAAATTGTCTCCAATTTTATTTCCTTCAATCTTAAACAAGGGCTAGATGTCTGTCTTCTTGTATTCATAATCGATGTGGATAGTTTTGCTTCTCTCTGAAATGACATGCTTGGTTTATACAGATGAAACTATGCCACTGGGTGGGATTTTTAGCTAAGTCCTGTCTTGATAGCCAGTAATGTGTTAAATGTTAGAAATTTACTGTTGCTGGCTTCGTCTACAGGCTGGAGTGGGAATTGGAGTTTTGGTTCCCATATAAATTATAGTGATGCTAATTCCTTGTCGCAACTTTACCACGTAGCAACTTCTACCCCAAAACTTTGGGAAACTTTTACATTCCAGCTGACTTTAGAACACAAAGCCCCTCCAAAGAGAAAGGAAAAGTTGTCCGACATTATTTTATGTTTTGAGAAACTGAGGCATTGACTCATTTGCCTTTGTGCAGGAAGTCCCAACCACCTAGCAGAATAAAACGCGGCTCAGGACTTCCCAAGTCGTGTGCTCACTTGGTGGGTCTCCTTTGGACTTGCCAGGCAAGTCATTTCCCCATCGGTTGATCTCCCTGCCCCATGACTGTTCCTGCTCAGCTGGCTTCTCGTGTCTCCTGATGTCCCAGACAAAATGTACCCTGGACAAGGCTGATATCATTCAGGAAGAGAGAGGGAGTGAGCGGAAGGAACTGGCCAGCTGATTTTGTTTGGGGATTTATGTCAAACCAAGCTTTGGACAGCTGTTTCATGAGAGGCTGCGGAGAGACTAACATCTCTTTGTTAGGGCCCTTCAGTTCCCTTTAAAAAGCTAAGACTGCAGCAACATATCCCAGCACTGAACAAAATTTAGTACGAAATCCTAATCAGATCATTGTAACACTACAGCATGTCAGGTCCTTCAGGAAAGAATTACACAGTTTCAAATGTGAAGAAGATAGCGCTTCCCATATGTAGTGGAATTTGGATGCACGTCTTTATTTCCTTTGCTCCTCTGAAAAACAATTAAAGGATCCCGTTGGGAAATGCGCAATTTACAGTGGTACTTTTTTGTGATTTATTCTAATGTGGTAGAAAGGAAGGGAAAGCTAAATGGTTTTGAGATGCAGACCTTGGCCAATGAGTTCTCAAAGCGATGGGGTAATTCAGAATGCCAGTGCAGGTAGTTGAGCACATCACTTCCCTGGCTGTTAGGTGTGACTGTAGATCTGCGAAGCGCTAGGGAAGGGGGCACCTTTCTGAAAGCCAAAGTCCTGTTTGTTTAAAATGCTTCAGTGCTATTGTGGTTTAATAGCGTAGGATTCAGTTTTATTACATTTTCTATTGGTGCGGGATTGCCTGCTCTTGTTAGCAGCTAATGAGGGGTCAGTTCACATCTGCCTTTTCTCAGACTTCTGCCTGTAGTAGCTGCCGGCCTTACTGTCATGTAGGAAATAGTTGGTCTTGGGCACTTTCCTTTCCCAGGTTTATAAGGCACATTTGCATCCTCTCCAAGGTCTTTTTGAGTGCTTTTTTTTTCTGCACTTTCCATTTCTTTGCCATTTTGCAGTCAGATGCAGCTTGCTTTCCCAGAGAAGTAAAACTGAGTGGAAGTTGTCAAGATAGGTGGCTGGGAGTGGGTGGTCAGGCATTAGTTAGCCTTAGGGTCAACATAAATAAGCAGATGTAGCTCCAGAACTCATTTATCTTCTGATTGGCAACAGTTTGCTGTTTTCCTTCTGTCCCAAGAAAGAGCCGGTTGAGATTGCTGCCATCTCAGGAAAAGGAGTGTTAACCCCCTGGTTTGGGGAAATGCCTAAGTGGGAGCCAGGATCCGTTCTGCTGTTCCGTGGTTGAACTTTGTGAAGCTCACTTTTCCTCACTACTACTACTCTCTCTACTTTATATTTCTTCATCTAAGCAGTGTGCTTCTCTCATTAAAACTCTTGTGGTGAAGGCTCTGGGGAGAGATGGAAGGCTCCAGGGGTGCCAGGAGAAGGTGGGTTCCTTGGTGGGCCTCTTGTCCCCCGCAGTCAAACACCAGCTACTCTACGTGCCAGGCAGTTGCAGCTCTTGGCTGGGTAAAATAAAAGAAGCGCTTGACAGATCCACACTGCAGGATGAAATAACTGCAAAGCAAAGAGATCTTGCTGGGAAAGCAGGGTTAGCCAAGAATTTAATGTTTGCTGTTGAATTGTGGGTGATCTCTGCTGAACAATATTCTTCTCTGTCCATGTTGTTAGCTTTGCCTTTGTGCTTATTCTCAGCTTTTTCAGGAAGGGTGGGCACAGCTTAAATTCTTTGCAAGCTTCCAAGTATTGAATATACTTTCTTCAAGGAATAAGTAACCTAAAGCAGCTTAAAGTTCCCTGTAACATTGTGCTCTTTGTGTCTCTTTCAGTATCACAGACAGTGCTGTAGAGCCCTTAAAAGCTGAACTGGCTGAACTGGAACAGTTGATTAAAGACCAGCAAGACAAGATATGTGCTGTAAAATCTAATATTTTAAAGAACGAAGACAAAATCCAGAAGATGATTCTTAGCATAAACCTGTCTTCAAAAAGGTGAAGAAGAGAACAAAAAAGCATTGGAACGGACTGGCATTTCTATAAAATAAAAGCAAAATAGCAGAGGAAGAATTAACATACGCCTTGTTCAAATATAAAGTTAAGGACCAGAATCCTAAATAGAATATGAAATCCCATTATTACAATCTTTTTTAGAGGTTTGTATTGCCCAGGATAAAATTATATTTATTTGAATGCACAAGTTACAGAACTATTAAAATAAGTTGTTTCTTTAGATGTGAACTGTTGTTGCTTGCTTATTAGGATTTTGCAGCCCCCTTTTCATCCCTGGTCTCTTCAGGGCAGTTTCTGAGCCAGCCTTCTTATGCATCCCTTTCCTCTCCTCATACCTACTGAGGTCACTTTTGAACATACTCCCAGGAAAAAAGGGTTTTAGATAATTTTTTCCTCCTTAAAAATTGTTTCAGATCCCCTCAGGTGAGAAAGTTGCATAATCCTGTTCATTATTTAACGGTCTTGTAAAGAAAGCTATAAAAGAATGCCTCCAGATCAAGAAGTAAAGCTGTGGGTAGCAGGCAGTTCTTTGCATCATTACAAAAATGATGTCATGTTTTCAGAGCTATCAGGAATCTGATTAGGAACTGTTAAAAACGCAATATTAGCATCGCCATGCAAGGGAGCAGAAGCATTTTATCTGTGCAGGTGTTAATTCTATTTTTATTGCCTATGTTCATTTGGAAAGGATTAATTTAAGCACCCATTTCCTCCCCAAAGCATGTTCCTATAACTTTTTGTATGTGAATAATTTTAATGATTTTTTTTTAGTTAACTACAGATGTCTATGCTGCTTTCTGCTTACTGACCTCTTGAGTGTGTGGCACGTTCAAGTCCAGTGCACTTATTCCTAAATCTAAAAAGCGTATTAGAATAGACACAGCTATATGGTGCCGCACTGAGCACAGGGAGCTTTACTCCCTTGCAAGGCTGTTCTCTGAAGATTTTTACAATATGCAAAGACATCTTCTATTCCCATGTTGTTTGGATTGTGTAGGAACTGGTCGTGTCCTGCTTTTTTCCTTATTTAATTGGAAACTTTCTTTTGTCCTTCCATCAGACCTTTTTAAATAGTTTTAATGAGGGCTCTCAAGTATGACTTAGGCATATCAAGAGTGGTTTGAGTAAATCTCACCTTTTCATCTTGTCATATTGCTACTGGTGGAGACTTTTAAGGACTTGCTGAAGGCTTTGGAGTAGTTCAAAACAGTTGCTTCTCTAATCTGGGCCCAGTGAAAACAGCTGCAGTTAAATTGTCTACAAAAATGTGTGGGTATGCACTTGTTAGCTTTAAGTTATTGGTTCACTCTCTTCTGGATTCATGTATTCCTCACTATGATGAGTTCTGGTGTGATATTTAAACACAGTTGAATTGTTTGAACCAAATATTCATTTATCATAACTGTTACAAATACCACTTTGTTTTGCTTTTCGCATGTAATATAAGCAAAATCATTCATTTGAATGCTTTCCCTGAAAACCAGTAAGAGAACTACCAAGATCTCTGTCATGCAAGAGTAGGCATTCTAAGAGAAATCTTAGATAAAGTGTTGAGTTGTTCTGTGACTAATACCCTGTTTGATGCTTGGCAGTTGGGTATCAGAGAATAATTCTCTTGCAATATATTTCATGACTGAAGTCCCCTTCAGTTCTTCACATTTGCTTAGATTTCTTGCTTCGTATGTAAATATGGCTAGGACTGGTTTTGTAGAAATGTATAACAAGTACACTGTAATGTGAGTGTAACTGTACAGAGCATCAGATTGTATCATAACATTTATTTTTCTTTTATATAAAATCATTAAAATGATTACCTATTTTTCTAGGAAGTGATGTGTTTGCATCATAAAATTCACATTTTAAAGTGGTGGATACAGAACAGCAGCGACATCTTTTGAAAGCGTCGGTGGGAGACTTGGGTGGAGGATTAGCTTTGGAAAGCTTTATTTTGAAAGCTTTTTCTAACTTTGCTGGCAACCTTTGTGCTGGGAAACGCTGTGAGAATTCAGTTGACCTGACACTATTGAGCCATTGCAAGGGAGACTAGCATGTGTCAAAAAAAAATCAACCGAATAGATCATCACAAAGTAGCTGTAGTGTTTAGTATGCTAAGTATGGACATTCAAGGGGTTCTGTGCGTGTTTAAATGAATGAGGAAGTGGAGGAGGATTACTTTTTATTTTGGCTGCTGTGGAGTGAGCTGGGGTCAGGCCTGAAGGTAGTTCACACCAAGACTTGGGACTGTGACAGAAACTTTAAATGACTCATTTTCTGGGCCCAAAGCAATCAGCAGTTTATTGCTTCCAGGAGGAGCTGTGTCCTAGCTCCAGGTACTGTAAGGGCAAGATGCTTTGGTGCATGGGATTTTGGTGCCTGGGTGGAGAGAAAGTAGGGGATTTATGAAGGAATAACTATTCTAAACTGTATTCTTAACATGACATTATGCTCTTTGTTTTTGAAATGTTGTTTTATTGTTTTTTTTTAATTTCAATATTTGAACTTCAAATGTGAAGCAAAAAGCAGCATGTTCTCTGTGTCTGGAAAGACTTGACACTTGCCAGTGTGAAAGTGCAGCTCAGCCCTATTTTATGACCCTTTCCTGCTCGCCCGAGGTTGGAGCCCGTGCACTGCGCTCCAGGTCTCATCACGCATATGAAGGGAAAGGGCTTCAGGATGTCCATCAGCAACCCCAGAGCCACAGAACTGATGAAGAAAGAACAGGTGGCCGATACGTAACTCCTGAGCAGTTTGAACTCTTCTTCTTTTTTCAGGGCCAAGTTACTTCATCAGCTGTGGGCATCTAAACGATGCGATTTCCACATAATCTCTGCCCTCAGCTTTGGAAGAAACAGGTGAGTTGGAGACACTGGAACTGTCGCTGCTTAGCATGCCTTGGTGCTTGGCACTTGGGTGTCCAGAACCACTTCCTCCTGGAGTGGTGAAACTCTTCCCTGTGCCTACCAGCTCTGAGGTCTGTGCTTTGGGGAGTTGCGTTAGAAGTGACTGTCCTGTGAAAAGAGGCAGAAAGTCTAGTGCTCATCATTAAACTGGGTCTCTGGGGCACTGCTTCAGTTCCCTGCTTGCCAGGCTTTCTGGGAGATCTCAGGGACGTAGTCTGGATGTTCAGGCACCCATTTCTCTTAATGAAATGGGGTGGAAGTCCTGCTCTGTGTCTCTGTGAGCCAGATATATCCCAAGTCGGGGCTATAAATGTACCATTCGGTGGGCAGAAGGGCAGACACTGGGACAGAGACACTGTTTTGGTCCCAGCTTGCATGGCTGCTGTTAGGAAGGATCCCAGCCCTGGGCTGCTGCTCGCAGTGATAATGAATAATAATAACTTGTTGGCTGCACTCCCTAGATAACTGTGTGCATTCTGCATCATATATCACTTTAAAACAAGAATCAATCGATGCTAGGGTTTAATGAATGACATGGAATATCTCCTGCAGTCTTAGCTTGCTCTTTGTCTGGGTCTTTTTTTTTTGCCTTGCAGACTGAAGGAATGAAGATATTGCCTGGGAGTCACGGGCTGCTTTAACTTAATAGCAGTTTGAAGAGGCAGCACCTAGAAAAGCAAACAAGCACCTGCACTCCAAGAAGAGACAGGAGCCTCTGTGAAAGTGGCAGGGGAAGAGTGTCTGTGTGTGTGTGCGCCTTGCCTGTGCACTGAGCTTGCATTTTTACCTTGTGGGTGGTTCGTTAGCGAGGGAAACTTGCTAGTGTGGTGGTTTGGGGTTTAAAAACCCTTACATTGTCAGGCCCTTTTGGAGCTAATGGAAGCTGACAGTTTTGGGAGGCAGAACTTATGTTTCACGACGTGCCTGACATTCCTCTCTCTCTTGTGCAGGTTGTGAGGTGGCTGCCAGCCCCTCTGGTTTAGGGCTGAGGAATATTTCTTGGCCAAAAAGGTGCAGCAGTTGTCAGCATCCTGAAACCCGGTGGCTAGACAGTGAATGAGGCAGGCTGGGCACCAGGGATGGGACCTCCCAGATGAAAAAGACTCAGGTCCAAGCATGAGCCTGGGAGAGAGGACAAGCAGTGGGATGAGCTCAGATCGGGGGGCTGCACCTTGGCTCAGGTGAGTTGTCCCCTCTCAGTTTATATAGGCACTAGATGGACTTCATCTGGGGATGTCGGTGAGTTCTCCAGATGTTCAGACTGTTCCCTTGGGTGGGAATGGAAGAGGTTTCGTTCTGTGCGTCTCTGAACAGTTTGGGTGAAGCGGGACTTGGCTGGAGTTTAGGTGTCAGAGGGTCCAATTGTGGTCCAGACGGAACCCAGCTCACCTCACCTCTCAGCTCCAGTGACACATGGGCCAGGTGTCCCATGTCCAGAAACACCAGGTGTGCAGGCCTATTCTATATTCAGAACTCTTGGATGTTCTTCGTACACCTCATTGTCAGGTTGAGGTCAAAAATGGGATGAATTGCTCCCTAGAAATAGTAATTTGTGTTGTCTATAGTAGTGGCTTTGGGCAGAAATCTCAGATAACGCTGTTTACTTCACTGGTACCTAAGGCTAAGCATGCTTAATGCTTTTTTTCTTGGTGCATTTTGCAAATTAGCAGTTCCTGCTAGACTTGGCCCTGAGCCCTTGCGTTTCGGCCTTGGAGGTGACTGCTGTGTGGTTTGTTTCTTTCTGGACTGTGGCTCCGGGCTGCCTGCTGACTTGGGAAGTTGCTGCTACCATGCTGCACATTTCATTATCCTCACCAGCCTGGGAGCAGGGAATACCAGCATCATTATTTTTGCAAGGAAAGCTAAAGTTCTGAAGATGACGTGTGTGCAAGCCCGGACATGCCACCTCCAACACAACCACAGAGTGCAGATCCCTGGATCAAGTCTGTCCTGTGTGTTTCTTTATTCCTTTGACCCGGTGCCTGACCTTGCTCTATATTGACCCTGATTCAGCTCGGTGATGCTGGATTACTGGGCTGTTCCTGGGGATGTGAGGACCAGATGGAAACAACTTCTGGCACAGAGTTGTAGTTATGCTTGCTAAGTCAGGAGGGCTGAGGGACACGCTGTTGCTTTCGGCTGACTCCTCGGTGTAATTTGCTGTATTGGATTTCTTCCTTTATGAAGCCAGAATAGCTTAGAGACCTCAAGGACACTCTCTTGCCTATTGGGTTACTTCCCTTGAGCACATCTTGGAACGTAAGGGGGGAAATGCCAATTACTTTTAAATACTTTATAATTGTGAAGCTGTAGCAGTATTTCTTCATCTATAAGGAAAAGCTTGGCATTTGTAAGCCAGCCAATGCCTGTGTGATTTAGGGGATGCAGTCTGTGGAAAGCTAATCAAAACTGGGCTCCCAAACAGCTTTGCTTTAATAATTAAATGGGCCCA